GTCCTGGCTCGGCTGCCGAGTCACTAAGTTCATACCCTCTTGGGACCCGGTTTTCTCAGCCAGATGGCAGGGATTTTAACCTTCCGCCAGCTCTCCTTCCCTACTGTCGAGCTGGGAAGGGTCCTTGAAGGAGTGAGATCTGGAAGGATTTAAGAGCAGGGCCTCTGGCATTGCTACGCCCGATGGCTGTGACCCCCGTGGCTGGTGGCCTCACTGCCTCCCTCTGCACAGGTCTGTGGGACAGCTCTGGGAACTGCACCGGGAGATAGAGGTAAGGCCGGAGGAGGGTGGAGTTGGACAGGGCCCCCACCAGCAGGGCCCCTGGGCCACTGGTTTCCTGGAGCACCCTGTCGTTCCTGCTCGGGCCCTCCCTAGCTTGGATGCCAGCCTCGAGTCTGGAGCAGCCTGGGGGTCCTGCCCTGGGTGACGCTTCATGTCGTTGGGGCTGCCCAGGGCCCCTGCACTGGGCCGCTGGGAAGCTGGCTGTGCTCTGTGTAGAAGGCACAGCAACGGGTGCCCCTGCATGTCTACTCGGGGCACTGGCAGAGCCTGTCCCTTCATGGGAGACCCTTGTGGGTTGGGTGGGGCTGCTATGGGGCTGGCTCTCAGCGCTGCCTCCCCAGATGTACCGCAACGCCGTGATTGCCCAGTGGAGGGCGCTGGACCTGGATGTACTGCTGACCCCCATGCTGAGCCCTGCTCTGAACTTGAATGCCCCAGGCAGGACCTCTGGTGAGGGCCTTGTCCCAGCCCCGACACTCCCATCTGCCCCTTCTCTCCTATGGGTCCAGCCCTGTGCTGGGCTGGGGTTGGGGTTGGGGGCTTAGAGGAGGGAGGGAGTTCCCTGTCACCCGCACTCTTGGAGTGGAAGCTGGCAGGCCAGTCAGGCAAGCCTCTGGGGCTCTGGCGTGTGAGAGCGTGGAGAAGCAGAACATTCCAGGGTAGTGGGCGAGAGCATGGGAAAGGCATGGCTCAAGAATCAGCAGGCTAAATCTTACCATAGTGAATGATGGGGGGAGT